GGGCCCTGCCGCGCCGTCCGCCACTCCGAGGATGCTTGCGCTCGCTCGTTTGCCCCTGTCTGATGGAGGGGGCGGCGCTCCGCCCGAGGGGCCGTGGTGCGCCCGCTCAGCGGGGCGAGCCTGGCTGTCGAGGGTGGGTGGAGGCCGAGCGTGTCCGTGTGGCCGCGAGGGCGCTGCCCAAGCGCAGGGCGCGCTGGGCCCCGCGGCGAGAGGGGCGCGAGCTGGCGCGCGGCTTCGAGCCGGCTGCCGACCCGGGCGGCCCCGCGCGAGCAGGCTTGGGGCCCGACCTGAGCCGCGACCGCGCTGTTGACATGGTGTGCGTATATGGTTGCAGGCCTGGCTTCAGCGCCCGGAGGCGCCGCGGCGAGGGGCGCCGTGCGCCGCCGGGGGGGGGGCGAATCTGGAGGGCCTGGTGGCCGACGAGCCTGGCGGTCGAGCAAGAGCCGCGATCTCTCTCTCCTTCCGGCTGGGGGCGACATTGTCCTGATCGCGATCCACTGTGGGGCCGAGCTCGCGCGGCTGAGCATCAGTGCTGCCGGCGAAAGTGGCCTGTGGGTCTAGTCGGTGATTGGCGCCATTCTTCGTGATTGCTCTCGTTCGCGGCGCCCGCTCACCGATGGCGCGCCCAAGGGTGTCACCCCCTGTCACCCGCGGGCCCGGCTCGCCAGGGTCTTCTCCTTAGCGTGCGGGCGTTGTCTCGTCCTGGCTGGTCGCCGCGTGACCTCGGGCTGGCCAGCGGGTGCCTGCCCCTCCGAGCCCGTGTCGCGGTCGGTGCATGGGCGAGGGCCCGCGCCATCCGCGGATTCGCGGCTGTCCCGGCATCCTCTTCTCCTGGGCGCGCCAGTGCCAGGCCTGTGTTTCTCAGGCGCCAGGCGCCCCCCCGCCCTCTCGGCGTGGGGTCGGTGGCGGAGGCGAGGCGGGCGGGGGGATGGGGCTCCGGCCCTGGTGCGGCGAGGCAGGGCAGTTGCCTCTCGTTGCGCTCAGTGCAGCCCGCCGCCTTTCTGCCTGGCCGCCAGCGGCGCGGGGCCCGTGCGCGGCCCCGCCGTCGCCCGCTGTCGGCCGGCCCGCCGCGGGGGCGGGCCCGCTCCCATTGTCTGCCGGGGGGGCGCTTGGGCTGCTTGCCGCTCCGCCTCTGCCCTTTCGGGGTGTGGGCGTTCTCATGGGGTGGCCCCGAGCCAGCGCGCCCGTTCCCGCCGCCAGGTGCCGTTGTTCCCGTTTGGTGGCTTGGGGGGTTCCTCGTTCCAGAGGGACCGCCCAGGATCTGCAGACTTGGGCGGGATCACCTACCCAGCCTGCGGAGCGCGTGGCCGCGTTACCAAAAGTACCCTCGTCCTTCTCCGTTCTCGTTTTTGCCTCCTCTCCTCCTCTTTTTTTCCCTTGAGTGCGTACGCGCTCACGTAACCAAAATATCCAGGCGAAGGACCCAACAATACGGAGTTGTGAGTACCGCGTTCTGGCTACCGCTTCTGGTGGAGCTCCTGTTGGGGCCATGAAGCGCGTGAGGGGTGGTTGGGCCGAGTTGGGTGCGGTGGTGCCATACGGGCCATGAAACGTGTAAGTAGTGTGCCAGAGCGGACGCGTCGGTGCCATGCGAACGCAGCCGTTGCGGCCTTCGGCGGGGCTCCCTATGGAGCCGCGAAACGTGTGAGGTGTGTGACGAAACGGGCGCGGCGATGGCATGCGAACGCAACCACACGGGTCTTCGGTGGAGCTCCCTATGCGGCCACCAAGAGTGTGAGGGGTGTGCCGACACAAAAGCATACGGAGGAGTTAGGGATGACCTGGAGGAGGAGAGGAGAGATGAAGGAGTGAAGAGAGAGAGCAGGGAGGAATGAGGAGGATTAGGATGATGATAATGAAGGTGATGATGAGGATGATGATAATTGTGATGGTGATGATGATGATATTGTTAATGATGATACTGATGCTGATGAGGATGCTGATTACGATGATGCTGATGATGATGATGATGATGATGTTGATGATGAGGAGGAAGATGAGGAGGATGAGGAGGAGAGTAGTGATGGTGATGATGCTGCTGCTGATGATGATGGTGGTGGTGATGATGATGCTGCTGCTGACGATGAGGATGATGATAAAGCTGATGAGGATGGTGATGCTGATGATGATGGTGATGATGATTATGATGATGGTGATTTGTGATGTTGGTCTTGATGATGCTGCTGATGATGATGCTAATGATAATGCTGACGATGATGCTGTTGATGATGATTACTATGCTGATGCTGCTGCCGCTGATGCTGCTGATGATGCTGCTGCTGATGATGAGGCTGATGCTGATGATGCTGACGATGATGCTGATGATGAAGATTCTGATGACGATGATGCTGATGATGCTGATGATTATGATTATCATGATGATGCCGATGGTGGTGATGATGATGACGATGATGATGACGATGATGATGATCATGCTGGCGATGATGAGGATGCTGATGATGATGATGCTGAATAGGATGATGATGATGCTGATGATGATGATGCTGACGATGGTGATTATGACGATGATTTTAATGATGCTGATGCTGATGATTATGCTGATGCTGCTGATGATGATTAGGAGGAGGAGGAGGAGGAAGACGAGGATCATGCGAAGAATGAGGAGGCGTATCAATACTAATAAACATAGTAAGACTACGACTACTAATAATAAACATAATAATAATAGTAGTAATACTAATAGTAATAATAATAATAGTAATAATAATATTAATAATAATATTAATAATAATAACAACAATAAGAACAATAACATTAATATCATTACTATCAATAGAGTACTGGCCAATACAATAATGCAATTGAACATACTGGCAACACTAACCATCATAGTAATAATAGTAATAATGTCAATACAAATAATACGATTAAGAATAATCTTACTACTTATTGTATTTCTATTAATTTTATTTCTATTAATAATGCTAATCGGGGGTGGACAGAACCCCCAACAGTGACACGTAGATTAGTGCATTGTCCTTTTTCGGTACTCGAGAGGGCGCCGTTGCCGTTATTTTCCAGTCTTGCGCCCGCCAGGTTTGGGCCTCAGGTCGTTTTCACTAACCACGTTTTGCTAAAGGGGGGTCTGTCCATCCCCGAGTTAATCAGCAACACATGAATACTAACAATAATCATAAGGAGGAGGAGGAGGAAGAGCAGGAGGAGTTGGAGCAGGAATGGTTGGGAATAGTACAGCTTAGCTTTTGCAATCCCGCGTGACACAAATGCTCGGAGACGGCGGTACATCTTCCAGACAGAGTCAGGGGATAGTATACTATTCATGCTGTGCAATTCTGGAATCAGGGGGGACGTGGGGGGGAAGGAGTTGGCGGCGAGAAGGGAGGGGAGGAATGAGGGCAATGAAACGCAGGCCGTCACGCGCTTCGGCTCCGCCAGTCGGTGATCCCTCCTCTGCAGCATAGGCGCCTGTCTTGGAGGAGGCGGCGCGGGCTGTGGAGGTAGGGAGGTCGCCGGCCGTGCGCGACCTGACCCAGGCCCACTGAGAGGGATATGGGGGGCAGGAGGACTCGGGCGAGGACGAGGGCATGGCCGTCTCGGTGCTGAAGGTGATCAGAGGGGGCGGCTGCGCGTTCCAGGACAAGGTGGAGGGCTCCACCCCGCGTCGCCGGCCTTGCCGTCGACGTGCGCGTACGGGCCGCGCCGTGGCTTTTCAGGACCTTGCCTGGAGCAGCCGTCCTCTGCGGCCCGCCTCTTGAGGTGGCAGTGGTGCTCTGCGCTCCACTTCCCTCGGAGGAGCGAGGAGACGTCGTCACAATGAGGTGCCCCAGCATGTTCGAGATTTCCAGCGTTTCCGCGATCTCCTGCTTGTTCCGCGCGGGCTGCGGAGACGAGGAACTCCAGAATCTCCGCCACGTGGCCTGAGCCAACCGTGCCTCGGGGGCCCCGAAACGGTTTGGTGACCACGCCGCGTGGTGAGGCAGTGGAGATTCGGGGTCTCCCGACGGTTTTGGGACTCGGCTCGGTCTCCGAGGACGTCTCGGGCGACTGTGGCCTCCAGGGTCCCAGAACCGTGCGGTGGCGGGCCGCGTGGTGAGGTCGCAGGGGATCCTGAGTTCACCATGCGGTCCGTCACCACACGGCTTTGGGGCACCGAAGTGTCGTGGCGTCCGTCTCGTTCGCCTCCACTCCCCGCAGCGGTGCCGCGCAGCCCCCCGCCTCTGCCTGCGGCGGGGCGGCGCCCCTGGCGTGCCTCGCCTGTGCCGCGCGCGAGCTCGGCACCCAAGCTGGGCCGAGAAGCTGGAGTCCGCCCCCCTCTACGCGCTCGTCTTGGCGCTCAGGCAGCGGGCTGGCCCTCCTCTTCCTCGTCCTCCTCGGTCTCTTCGTTTCTGGAGGATCTAGATGGGTACAGCAAGGGTGGTGACGAAGACCGACAGCAGTTCCTGTCCATTTTGGACGGGCCTTGCTGTCGATGTCGCCGCGGGCGCCTGCCCAACAGCAGCCGTTCTCGATTTTGGTCAGCACTCGCTGTTGGGCATAATGCCATTTTTTCCGTGCTTGTTTCGGGCGTCCGAGTCGTCGTTTTTCGATGGGGCCCCCCGCGGCGACCACAGCAGATGATCGCTAATAGCGGCTGGCGGTCTTTTGCGGTCATTCTCTCCTCCTTCGTTGGCCGTGCAGCATGTCCACCATGGAGCCTCCGCCAGACGGCACGGCGCTGTCGCCGCAGCTGTGGCAGTGGTGCTTTTGACTCCCTGGGTGAAGGTCTTCTTTGGTTCGTTTACCCTTTCGGGTTGAAGGGTCTTCCCGACACCCGACTCCGCGAACAGAGGTTGAGTTCACGCAGGGGGAAGGGACCGGAGGGGGCAGGGAGGACGTCAGATATGGCGCGAGCGAACCTAGCTTGCCCTCGCCCCCCTCCCTCCCCCTCGGCTCTCTCCCGCTCCCCGTGGTCCTTCCCTATCCCGCGCCATTCCCGCCGCCCCCTCCGGCCTTCCCCCTCCCCAGCCGTGCGCCTGCAGGGGGTGCGCCACGCGTCGGGAGAGGACGTGGACGTGATGTACAACACGGGGAACGGCTGGAGGCGAGCCCACTTCTCGCCGCCGTGCTGTCTTCTACTACGCTCCACTTCGCCATCGCGCTTCAGTTAGCGGGCGAAGCACGGACAAAAAGTAAGCGCCTCCGCCATCGGGGACGCCTGTCCCGGGGCGGCTGGGAAGCACACATTTTTTTTTGGTCTGCGGGGCGAGAGCGAACCTCTTCCGGTTAAAAGCTAGGCGGGCTACGCACAGCTCTCATTGGGGAGACAGAGCACAGGCGGGCGGGGCCTCAGGCGGCCGGAGGGCGGGCCGGGGTGCAGGCGGTGCCGAGGAGCTTGCACAGGAAAAGGAACGCCTTGGACAGGAGCCGGAGGCGAAGATCCGGAGGGTGGCTGGGACACACAGACGCCCCTGCGCTGATATGTCAGGGTGTAAGCTTTCCAGCAGCCCTGGGACAGGCGTCCCCGATGGCGGATCACTCGTTGCCCATATCCTAAGATGGGGTTCTTGTTATTACCTGGACGCCTCCTACTCCTTCCTCTTCTTCTCCTCCTCCTCCTCTTCATACTTAGACTTACTCATACACAGACTTACTCATACATAGACTTACTCGTACTCAGACCTGATCATATGGACTTACTCGTGCTCAGACCGAATCATACTGAGACATACTCATACTCAGACTTACTCATGCTGAGACTCACTCATACCCAGACTTACTTACACTCAGAGTTCCTCATTGTCTGACGTATTCAAGACAAAGCAGATTGTGAGGTTGTCGCCGGCGGGGCGCTGGTTTCAGCACCCCTAGGGAAGCCGCCAAAGGGTATGACACGGTCCCGTTCGCGGCCGTTTAAAGGGGATGGCTCAAGCGGTTTGCTTGTTTTATGTCTCAACATCCTTCGCTTGGAAAGCAGATTATGAGCATGTCGCAGGCGGGGCGCTGTTTTCAGCACCCCAATGGGGAGCCGCCGAAGGGTATGACACGGTCCCGTTCGCGGCCGTTTTGTGGGGTTGCCTCAAGCGGTTTGCTTGTTGTCTGTCAACATCCTGCGCTTGGATAACAGATTGTGAGGATGTCTCAGGCGGGGCGCTGGTTTCAGCTACCTGAGGGGAAGCGCCACGGGTGCTTCCATGGCTCCGTTCGTCGCCGTTCTGTGGGGATGTCTCGAGCGGTTTGCTTGTTTTCTGCTTTTGCGTTGTGTCCCGAGTGGCTCTCCCCGTTGCGTACGGCGGTCAATGAGGAATATCCTAAGATGGGTTCTTAGTATTACATGGACGCCTTCTACTCCTCCTTCCTCTTCTTCTTCTCCCCCTCCTCTTCTTCATACATAGACTCACTCATACACAGACTTACTCATACACAGACTTACTCATTTTCAGACCTGATCATAATATTTTTTACTAATACTCATACTTACTCATACTCAGACGTATTCATGCTGAGACTCACTCATATCCAGACTTATTCATATTCAGACCGTCTCATTGTCTGACGTACTCAACAGCAGATTGTGAGGATGTCTCAGGCGGGGCGCTGGTTTCAGCACCCCTAAGGGGAGCCGCCAAGGGGTCCCTGTCTGGCGGGCCTTCGAGGCGCGGTTTGCGAAAGACAGCCGCCCCGACGCGTGCCCGGAGCTGGACCCGCGACACGCGCAGAAGGAGTTCTTCGAGGGCTACGGATTGGCCATGACTGGGAACCTCAAGCCCACTGGATCACCAAGCGCGCGCGGCGCGACGCCCGCGCGCTCGAGGTGCCAATGGTTTTCCTGCAGGCTGCCGACGAATGCCAGACCATCAAAGACAAGGAGTCGTACTCCAAGATGCTGAACGTCGCCAACATGTACAACACGGGCTGGATGCACGGCGTGCTGCCCGCCCACGTGGGGATGCGGGTTCGTTTCACTGGCAAGTTCAATGGCAAATCTGGCTTGGTCCAGGAGCAACGGGCCACCATCGCCAACAGCGCGGGCCCCGGCGAGCTCTTCAGGCCGCGCCGCTCGCCCACCTGGCATCTGGTTGCAGGTCGACGATTTCACGGAGGCGCCCACGTGCAAAGATTTCACGGACTACGTGGGCAAAAATGAGAAGATTGCTCGCGGCCTCTTCTGCATGCCCCTGATGGGGATTACCTTCCTCTGGGAGGCTTCGTCCGCGGCGCACAGCGTGGAGCGGTTTGGTTTCATGCTCTCGCACGCGCACTACCTGACGACGACTGCCTCGCAAGGGCAGACGATACGCGCTGCAGTGGCCATTGGCTGCGCGCGCCAGGCGCCTACGGGGCGACGAGGCATCAACGATGACACTTGGTGGTTGAACCTCTACGTGATGATCTCCCGCGCCATTCGGATGGCGGACATGTTGCTGGTGCGCCCGCCGCCTCGCTGGCTTTTGGAGAAAGGTCCGCCAGTGTCATTGAAACGCGCTCTTTGACGCTTCGCGGCGTCTGAGGACTCGACGGTGGCGAGAGCCGCCCCACTTGCTGTGGAGTGCGGCATAACGCTGCCAGAGGAAGCGTGACGGCCCGTATTCTTTCTGGCCGATTCCCAGTGCGGACGGCACTTTTGTTACCCAGATCCCTCTGCCGCTTGCCTGGCACTGCAAAGCCCGACGCCCAGCGCAGACGACTGCTTGCGTGTTTTTCCTTTGTCTCTGCGCTCAGCTATTTCCCTGCCTTCGCGCAGAGCCAAACCTGGTCCGATTCCAATGGCGGACGGCCAATGCGCGAACGTATTCACGTTGGCCCGTCGTCCTACGTTTTTCTTAGGCGCTCGCCCAAGCATGGCCCGATGCCAAATGCGGACGGCGCTCCGCGTGAACTCTTCATTGGGTTTTTCTATTCGGTAGCCCTATCGTGGTGTGGGCGGCAGAAGCGAACGACCTCTGCCGCGGTGTTTGCGACGCAGTGCCAATGCATTCTTTGCTTCGGCAAAAAATATGCGTGACGCATACAGGTGTTGGATGTGCAGCCGAGCTGCGCGCGCGTGTGCTCGTCGTTCACGTAGACGCGCTCTTAGAACAAACCTACCGTATCCATACGTTAACCATCGCACTACCCTACATTATGAGATGCACATATGGCTCATATGCCCATACGTTTATTGACATATCCCAAATGCAATGTTATTTTTTCTCGAACGGATGCACGTATCTGGAGTTCCACGCAGTGAGTAATTTCATTTTTCTGGATGCAGTTCTTGGCAGGTCAACTGCAGCATCGGTGCTGGTGTATCCGTGCTCGAAAATCGGCACGGCCCAGTTTAATTCAGGGCTTCACCACCCCCAATCAGCCTCAATCGGGTCATCGTTCTGACGAAGACTTTCCAGGAGTTGCTTTCGATAAGCTTTTCGCATTCTAATTCAGAGGATTCTGGAAACTTCCGAGGGCTTTCGGGGCTCAGGAACTGTTCCATGAGCTGCGTATTGTCGAGAGAGACAGAGAGAGGGGGAGAGAAAGAGAAAGAGAGAAAGAGAGAGAGAGAGAGAGAGAGAGAGAAAGAGAGAGAAAAAGAGAAAGAGAGAACAAGAGAAGGTACCAGGGCGCTCGAAGCCCCCTCCTCCATGCGTGGGGACCTCAAGGAACGTCAGCTCACCACATGCACCAGGCAAATTCCGAATCAAGCGCGGGCCTCCCTGGTAACGAGGCAGTGATGTCCTGCGAGCGCGGCCGAGACACGGGCCTCAGAGACTCGTGACTGCAGTGGAGGCCCGTGCCAAATAACACCCTACTCGCGTCCAGGGTGCCCTGGATTTCTTGGGTTTCGACGGTTTCGTTGCGGAAGGCGTGACGTTCCCACACCACATCCATGGACGTCCTTGGGTCTCAGGGCCCAGGTTTCTCGTGGAGGGCTTCTCGTGGTCGGGCCCCTGCTGTACGCACGTGGCCGAAGCCGCGCCCCAGAGGCAAAAAGAGAGCGCCGGGTCAACCGAGGGCCCCGCGGCAGGCTCGCGCCCCCCCCCCTCGTCCCCGGCGCGGGCGCTCCAGAGGGAACGACGCCAGTGTCGGGGGCGGCCAAGAGGGGGGTGATGAGTAGGGGAGGGTGGATATCATGGCGAGGGCCATGATATCTCCCCCGATTTCATGGCGCCTCTTCTTATTGCAATGCGTTCTCTGGCCCCCCCCTGGTCCGCGCACGTGCCTCGAGCCAGGATTTGCACCCCCCCCTCTTGGACGTCCCCCGCTTGGACGCTTCTGACAGTGGCCCAGAATCGCCCGACAGCGAAGGATGAGTGCTGTCGGCATGCTGAACGACCCACGCGGTGTCAAAAACCGACGCCGACGTCGACATGGCACGAGCCAGCCGTGTAGAATCGTGGCGCCCTTTCTCCGGGTGTCGCCGACAGCGCCGCGCTGTGCCTCGCGGCCGCATGCTGTGCTGTGCAGTGATGTGCTGTGCACGGGTATGCTACGCACTGCGGTGGTATGCCAAGGAATGCCATACTGTCCCGCACGATGGGGTGCCACACGATGGGGTCCTACACGGTAGAGCCTCGCACGACGGGGTCCCGCAGGAAGGGCTCCGCACGATAGGTGCCTGCCCGCACCACACTGTTCACAAACGACGTGGCTGCTCACCATCGCGGCGCCCCCGGACAGAAATAGTGACGGCCTCGCTGCGAGGATCGTGGGCCCGCCCTCTCATCCGCCAGGAAGGGCCTCGCCAGATCCATTGGGCGACGCAAACAACCAGGCCGTCTGCGCCCACACTGGCGCGTAAGCTGCCCGCGTGAGCTCGCGCGTGAGCTCCCTCTCGCTTCCAGTGTGACCTGCGGCGCGGGCGGCCTGCGTAAGCCGCGGCGTAAGCTCGCTGCGTCATCTCGCGTAAGACCCGCTTTGGATCGTCGCTCCGCTGGGACGGCCTCGCTGCGGGCATCGAGGGCCCGCCCCGCCCGGGGCGCACCCGGCGCCCGGGCACCTCCGGCGCGCCCCTCGCCTGCGAGGCCGAGCGCGCTGGCGCCAGTGCGGCGCGTTTGCGGCGCCGGCGCCGCTCCCCCCTTTCTTGCCCCGGGGCTCAGGAGGCGGGGGCCATTGCAAGTGGGGATCAGCCAGAGCGCCCGATCTTGCAGTATCCTGCAGGGGCCAGGGTCGCATTGACCCGGGTTTGGGTGCAGGATCCTGCAGGACCTCTTGCAACATCTGTCGCGTTGACCCGGGTTTTGGTGCAGGATCTTTCAGGATTCTGTAAGGCCTGTCTGAGCTGGGTCTGGATTGACCCGGGTCAGAAGATCCCCGATTGCCCCGTCGGGTCTGTTTGGATCGCCGGATTCCAGGCTACGTGGCTCCCAGCCTCAGGATCGTTTTTGCTCGAGGCAGGGATCGACCACAGAATTGGTTTACCCCAACATTGATTCGTTCGTCGAGTCCTTCAGGAATGCGTAGAATGTCCGTACAATCTACGAACATTCTACGTATGACTCGACGAGGACCATCGGCTTCCCCAGACACACGCATTGCTCCCCCCTGGGCTATTCGCACATATCGTCGCCTCCGGCAGTTGGGGAGATGCCCCTCGAAACCCGAAGGAGACGGCCTACGTCCGCATCTAAGGGGGGGGTACATCGGCCGGCGGGCCCCAGGCCACAGGTGCTGCGTATAAGGGGTCGGTTAAACGATGCTCCCTCGCTGCTGCCAGCCTCAAGGCGGGCGTGTCCCTCTACAGGAGGAATATTCAAAAATAGTCAGAAATAGTCTGGGGACGATTTTTCCCCATATCCTAAGATGGGATTCTTGTTATTACTTGGACGCCTCCTACTCCCTCTCCCTCCTCCTCTTTCCTCCTCCCCTCCTCCTCTTTCCTCATACTCAGACCTACTCATACTCAGACTTACTCATACTCAGACTTACTCATACTCAGTCCTACTCATACTCAGACTTACTCACACTCAGACATACTCATACACAGACTTACTCATACACAGACTTACTCGCACCCAGACGTACTCATACACAGACTTACTCATACCCAGACTTACACATACACAGTATTACTCATACTCAGACTTACTCATACCCAGACGTACACATACACAGACTTTCTCATACACAGACCTATTCATACTCAGACTTACTCATACACAGACTTACTCATACACAGACTTACTCATACTCAGGCATACTCATACTCAGACCTACTCATACTCAGACTTACTCAACACACATCAGATTTGGAGGATGTCTCAAGCGGGGCGCTGGTTTCAGCACCCCTAAGGGGAGCCGCCAGGGGTGTTTGCACGGGCTCGTTCGCTGCCATTTTGTGGGGATGTCTCAGGCGGTTTGCTTGTTTCTGGGCTCAACATCCTTCGCTTGGAGAGCAGATTGTGAGGATGTCTCAGGCGGGGCGCTGGTTTCAGCACCCCTAAGGGGAGCCGCCAGGGGTGTTTGCACGGGCTCGTTCGCGGCCATTTTGTGGGGATGTCTCAGGCGGTTTGCTTGTTTCTGGGCTCAACATCCTTCGCTTGGAGAGCAGATTGTGAGGATGTCTCAGGCGGGGCGCTGGTTTCAGCACCCCTAAGGGGGGCCGCCAGGGGTGTTTGCACGGGCTCGTTCGCGGCCATTTTGTGGGGATGTCTCAGGCGGTTCGCCTGTTTCTGGGCTCAACATCCTTCGCTTGGAGAGCAGATTGTGAGGATGTCTCAGGCGGGGCGCTGGTTTCAGCACCCCTAAGGGGAGCCGCCAGGGGTGGTTGCACGGGCTCGTTCGCGGTCCGTTTGTAGGGATGTCTCAGGCAGTTTGCTCGTTTTCATGCTCAACATCGCCGGCGGGGCTGCGCCTCCAAAAGTGGTGAAACGCGCCCTGGGGAACCAGGGTTGAGGAGGAAGAGGGGGAGGAAGAGCCCACGTGGACGCGCTATTGTAGTCGACCGCTCATGAACAGACGCTCACCACGGCATGACATAAAACATGAGATGCACATATGGGGAGCTCCACGCAGTGAGTAATTACTATCTTTTTTGAGTACTTCTTGAACATTTTTCTGGCTATTCTTAATTTTTCCTCCAATGTCCGCCTGTACGGGGGCATGCCCGACCTAATCCAAGGTTGTCGGCCACGCGCAGAGGGGGGTAGAGGGAGGGGGAAGGCTCCTCAGAAGCGCCCCCCTGCTCCTCAGAAGGCGTGGGCCCCGTCTGCAGATGCGAGGCCGGGCCCTTCTACGAAGCAGCCTGCTTCTAAGAAGCCTTCCCAACGATAACAACGATAACAACGATAATAACGATAATAACGATAACAACGATAACAACGATAACAACGATAACAACGATAACAACGATAACAACGATAACAACGATAACAACGATAACAACGATAACAACGATAACGATAGCAACGATAACAACGATAACAACGATAACAACGATAACAACGATAACAACGATAACAACGATAACAACGATAACGATAACCCCTACCCGCAGCCTCGCGGCCTCGTGGCGCCGCTGCTTCACGCGGCCCCCACGGGGGCGACAGTGGCGGGCCGGCTCACCGTCAGGGTTGGCGGTCCGCCCCGCCCTGGAGCGCCGTCGGGCCGGGGGTCGCCTCGGGCGGGACGGGGGGGGGCATGGCGGGACATCGACTAGCGGCGGCGGCGCGTGCGCCCGCGCGGGAGGAGGAGGAGGCGGAGGAGGCGGCGGCGGAGGAGGAGGAGGAGGCGGCGGAGGAGGAGGAGGAGGAGGAGGATGAGGAGGAGGAGGAAGAGTTGGAGGAGGATGAGGAAGAAGAGGAGGACGAGGAAGAGGAGGATCAGGATGAGGATGAGGAGGAGGAGGGAGAGCAGGATGATGCGGAGGAGAGTAGTGATGATGATGATGATGATGATGATGATGATGATGATGATGATGATGAGGATGATGATGGATGACGATGCTAATGATGATGATCATGATGATTACGATGATGCTGTTGATAATGTTGATGATGATGAGGAGGATGATGATGAGGAGGATGACGAGGAGAGTAGTGATGATGCTGCTGCTGATGATGATGATGATCATACTGCTGGTGGTGGTGGTGATGACGATGATGATGCAGCTGATGATGAGGATGATGATCAAGATGATGAGGATGATGATGCTAATGACGATGCTGATGATGCTGATGGTGATGACGATGATGGTGATGATGATGCTGATGATGAGGACGATGATGATGACCACGATGATGATGTTGATGATGATGATCATGATGATGAATAATATCATGATGATGATGATGGTTGTGGTGATGATGATAATGATGCTGATGATGAGGAGGAGGAGGAGAAGGTGGGGTAGGAGGAGAAGGAGGTGGAGGAGTATGAGGAGGAGGATGATGACGATTAGGATGATGATGATGATGATGCTGCTGATGATGATGATGCTAATGCTGATGCTGATGCTAATGCTGATGCTCATTCTGATGATGACGATGATGATGCTGATGCTGCTGATGATGTTGACGATGATGACGATGATGATGCTGATGAGGCTAATGCTGATGCTGATGCTGATGACGATGATGGTGGTGGTGGTGGTGATGGTGGTGATGTTGGTGGTGATGATGATGATTATGGTGGTGGTGATGATGATGATGGTGGTGATGATGATCATGATAATGCTGCTGCTAATGGTGAGGATGCTGCTGATGATGACGATGATGATGATGATGATGATGGTGGTGATGATGATGATTATGATGATGATGATGATGATGATGATGATGATGATGATGATGACGGTGATGATAATGATGATTCTGATGATGGTGACGATGACGACGAATGTGATGAGGATGGTGGTAATGATGATGATGATGATGATGATGATGATGATGATGATGATGATGATGATGATGATGATGATGATGATGATGATGCAGCTGATGATGATGATGATCATGATGATGATGGTGATGATGATGATAATGATGAGGATGCTGATGAGGATGATGATGATGCTGCTGATTCTGATGCTGATGCTGCTGCTGATGATGCTGATGCTGATGCTGATGCTTATGCTGATGCTGATGCTGATGCTGATGATGCTGATGCTGATGCTGATGCTGCTGATGATGTTGGCGATGATGACGATGATGATGCTGATGCTGATGATGCTGATGCTGATGCTGATGCTGATGCTGATGCTGATGATGATGATGATGCTGATGATGATGACGATGACGATGACGATGATGATGATGATGATGATGATGCTGATTCTGATGATGATGATGATGATGCTGCTGCTGATGCTGCTGCTGCTGATGATGATGATGATGAATATGATGATGATGATGATGATGATGATGATGATGATGATGATGATGATGATGATGATGATGATGATGATGATGATGATGATGATGCTGATTAGATGATGATGATGATGATGATGATGATGATGATGATGATGATGATGACGTGGTGGAGGAGGCGGAGCAGGAGGGGTTGGAGGAGGACGCGAAGGAGGAGGTGGAGATGAAGGAAGAGGAAACGGCATGAGTTTGCTCCATGAGAGATCAAGGGGTTGCAGGATGTCCTAGGTCACAGGTGGTCTTTGGGGGTCGTGGGATCTCGGGGGTCACATGAGGAGGAGGAGGAGGAGGAGGAGGAGGAGGAGGAGGAGGAGGAGGAGGAGGAGGAGAGGAGGAGGAGGAGGACGGGAGGGGGGGGGAGGATGGGGGATGATTGGGGAGGAGCGGGTGGAGGAGGAGGAGGAGGCGGAGGAGGAGTGGATCGACGAGGAGGAGAGGAGGAGGCGGAGGAGGAGGAGGCGGAGGAGGAGGGAGGAGGAGGCGGAGGAGGAGGAGGAGGAGGAGGAGGAGGAGGAGGAGGAGGAGGAGGAGGAGGAGGAGAGGAGGAGGAGGAGGAGGGGGAAGGAGCGGCGTCCGCGGTTCGCGAGGTCCGTGACCCTCGCAGATCCTGAGGATTCGAAGGCTCGTGGCGCCGGCCCGCCATTCGTTCTTCGTTCGCTTCGTGCTTGGTGGACGGAGGGGAGTCGTGAAGGCAGGCAGAGAGGAGAGGGAAAGAACGGGAGGGAGGAGGGAAAGCGGGAGGGGAGGGGAATGGAATTGAAGAGAAGTGCAGGGAAGTCGAAGGGACGAAGATGGAGAGGGAGGAAAGTTAGAGTGACAACGGGAGGGCAGCCAGGGCAAGGCAAGGGAGGGCATGAGGGGAGAGGATTCAAATGCCCGTAATGCTGCATGATGGCTACCTATGTTCTCCAGCTGCACCCTCTGGAATTATCGCTTGGCCACGCACCTCTTTTCGACCTTGTCGGCCACTGCCTCCTCCTCACCCCCTCCCGGTTTATCATCCCATGTGGATGGTGTCAGCTCGCTCGAAGACGATCTCCAGAACCCGCCTCTTGCTTCCCACTGCCTCCCGGCCGATCTTCGCCCGCTTTTTTTTGTCTCTCTCGATCGGGGCATCGATGTGAGGAGCTCTTCCGATTCAGGAGGTCAGAATGGTCGAACCGATCCCCATCCCGGCTGGGCCGTGGTATCTCAGCCCCGCCAGCCCACCCCCAGAGTTGGGGACAGGTCCCGCGAAACACGAAGGGAACAGTACTTGGGCAGCTTTCTCCTCCTCCTCCTCCTCCTCCTCCGCCTCCTCCTCCTCCCTCTCCTCCCACTCCTCCTCCTCCTCGTCCTCCTCCTCCTCCTCCTGGGGGTAAGCCGGCCAGCAGGGCCGAGGCCATGCCAGTGGGGATGTGGATCGGGCACACGACGCCCAGGCGGGGCTCGAGTCTCCTTGGATTTTTTCTTGGGCCCCTGGCGGTAGCCTACCACTGTGCTGGCGTACCCGTGCCGCCTCGACGCAGCGGCGTTGTGGACGCGAGCGTTCGCGGGCGAACAACTTCTTTGGGCTCGTTTTTGGGCCTCTGGGCCACAAGAGAACGTGTATTCACGAGAGTGAAGCGTTGTCAGTCACCTCGTCCCCTTCCTCCGCACTTGCATGCCTCTTGTTGCACTGTCTCCTCGTCTTCCCCCCTTCCTGTTCCTCAGCCGCGTGGGTCGAAGGAGGGACCGTTCGTACCAACCTAGGATGAGGAGGGTCAGGAGCTGGAACTAACAACCCACAGCACAAAATCCGTACGACAAATTGTGTCGACAGCCTCTTGGGAATCCGAGAGCGAAGATCGTTGAAGGCTTAACGGTTCATTCGGATGCAACTTTTGGGAGGTTAAATTCAGCATCGGCCTTGTTATATCCGTGGCCGAGAACCAGCCTACTCTGACACAATTCCCGCTTCATTCCGCCCAACCCTGGTGAAGCCCAGCTTACTCTGGCTTGATCCCAGGTTGAATCGAACCTGATCCTAATCTCTCTCCATGGCCCCGCAATTGGTCTCAATAGCCCAATCGTTCCTACGAAGACCTGCCAGGAGTTGCTCCTCAAGGCCCACGCCGCCACGGCAGGAGCTCTCCGCACAGGTCACCCCCCGCCCTCTTCCGCTCGCCTTGGCCCTCGGTGCCCTCGGCGTGCCTTGCCCGAGAGCTCTCGCACGCCCAGGCGTGACGCGAAGGCTCGCGTCGCCTGCCAGACTCCGCTGAACTCCTCCTCCTCCTCCTCCTCCTCCTCCTCCTCCTCCCCCTCCTCCTCCCCCTCCTCCTCCTCCTCCTCCTCCTTGGCTGCAGATGGAAAGCTGTCCGACCTGTCCAGATTTCGCTGAACTTCAAAGGCTAGTCTGGAACTGCGTTGGACCTAGGAGCTCGGAAGCCTTCGCGACCTTGGCTCTCGCGGGGCCTCGGGCTTTCGAGCGCCTGGAGGATGAGGACGAGGATGAGGAGCAGAAGGATATGATGATGATGACGACGATGACGATGATGAGGACGATGATGATGGCGAGGATGATGATGCTGCTAATGATGGTGATGGTGATGGTGATGCAGCTGCATATGATGATGAGGATGATGGTGGAGATGACGAGGAGGATCGTGGTGATGATGATGACGATAATAATGCTGAGGATGATGAGGATGACGAGGATGATGGTAATGTGGATAATGATGATGACGATGATACTGCTGATGATGAGGATGATGGTGGTGAGGGTGATGATGACGATGATGCCGACGATTATGATGACGATTATGATGATGATTCTGCTGATGACGATGCTGATGATGCTGACGCTGCTGATGATGATGACTGCGACGACGATGATGCTGCTGATGATGATGACGAGGATGATGATGATACATGAACATGATGATGATGATGATGATGATGATGATGATGATGATGATGATGATGATGATGATGATGATGATGATGATGATACATGATGATAGTGATGGTCACGGTGATGGTGATGATGAAGCTGATGATGCTGTTGCTGATGATGATGATGATGATGATGATGATGATGATGATGAGGATGAGGATAAGGATGAGGATGAGGATGATCATGATGATGATGATGATGATGATGAGGATGATGATGATGATGGTGATGGTCACGGTGATGGTGTCGGTGGTGGTGATGGTGATGGTAATGAGGATCACGATGATGCTGCTGATGATGAGGAGGAGGATCCTGATGATGATGCTGATGAGGATGATGATGATGATGCTGATGCTGATACTGACGATGTTGACGACGATTATGATGATGAGGAGGAGGAGGAGAAGAACGAGGAGGAGGAGGAGGAGGAGGAGGATTAACTGTATCAGGTTCAGGAGCGGCAGTTCAGAAGCAGCAGCAGAGTAGTAGCAGCAGTTCGCATCTACCCGGGGCAGGCCTCGCCACCGCGTCAGCGCATCATCCAAGTGTACGCAGGACGGTTCTGCCGGGCAGTCCTGTACCCACCCGGTAGAATCGCTTCTGAGCCGCCAGGGGAGCACCTCCGCGCTGTTGTAGTGTGGTGTGGCCGCAGCGCTGCACGAGTGTTGCGCTGCCTCTGCGGGGCTTCTCGGAGGCCAATCTGAACCTTCTTTGGGGCCTCTGGGCGTTTGCTCTGGGGCCTCTCGGGGGCTTCTTCTGGAGGGCCTCCCAGGGGAAGTTGGGGGCCTCGGGGCCGTCTAAGGTGCAATGGTAGGCTCATGCTTCTTTTGGGGGCTGCCTGGTCGAGTCCTGGAGGTCTTCCAGGCTTTTTCGAGGCCGTCCCGGGCCATCTCCAAGGCAACCTGATGCCCAACGGGGACGTCCTGGGGCTGTCCGACGTTTTCCTGAGGCCATCGGGCCACCTGAGGCCGAGGAGGTCATGACGCACCAGAAAGCCGCAGGGGAAGCTTTGGGCATCCGTGGGCCTGGTTTGCCTTGTGGACCGCCTCGAGGCCGAGAAGATGCTGATCTGCGACCTGCGACGTGGGGGGGAGTCGCCCTCAGCAAAGTGCGAGGACCCTGGGATCCTCGAGTTATACAACGAAAAACATGACGGGAGGTTTCGGCAGTTGTCGGTCCCTGTGTGCCCTCAGCAGACTCTGGGACGGGCCAAGGCGAAAAGCGACTCGGGATGAGCAGCCGGTCCCTAACTAGGATAGGTGCCCAAAACCAGGACGTCGGATGTCTGGGAAACCCTGCCATGCAGCTGGCAGCTGAAACGTGGTGATGGCACCTTTCGGGTTCGTGGCAGCGGCAGCAGTAGCAGCTGCAGATGCGACTGTGTGGGGGCGGGGAGGATGAGGGGGGATGAGGGGCAGGAGGAGGGTGAGGAGGCGCACGGGAAAGGACGGATTTTTCACCATGAGGCTCCCAAGAGGTCTGGACCCCTTCCCTGGACCGGCTCCTCATCCTAGGCTTGGTCGGGGCCCCCCGGAGGCCGAAACTTGCCAAAAACACCTTCCACCATGTTGTCGTTGTCGTTGTCGTTGTCGAACTCTCATTTCTGAAGAATACTTAATGTTGATCCCCCCTGTCCGGTGCCCATTGTTTTTGTTCAATTGAAGTGCTTCCTCCGGGGCTCGCACCCTGTTTTTTGACAGGGAAAGCATTGCGGATCAGATTGCGTTGTTGGGCCCCGGACTACAACAACAACGGCTCCCGCCTGAGACTTCCTCACAATTTACTCAGGACCCCCGCTCCCGCCTGAGATTCTTTAGGCTTACGCCACACCGCCGACCCCTTGTTTTTTTTGAGGCAATCTTGGACGTTTTGGGGGCGTCATGGCCCGACTTTATCCCCCGAACCAGTACGACTCGAAAGATGCGGGGGAGAGGCTTTGCAGGGCGTGCGCCCGCAACGAGAAGGGTGGGCGGAACGAGAAGGCGGATGCAGAGAATCGCAAGCGGAAAGCAGAGGCGGACGCGAAGCCGCTGACGTGCGCGGCGTGCAAAGGCGCGTTCTCGGACACGAAACATTTGAAGCAGAAACAAGTGGAACATCATCGAGCGGCGACAGGAGCTAAAGTGGTGTGCGGAAGCTGCGAGGAAGTCGGGTTCACAGCGCGCAGTTGCCAGGCTTATCACTGCAGCGGCGCGTGCAAGAGAGGACTACCAAAGTCGGCGTTCCCCGACCCGCACAATGTCCCGCGCGACGCAAAGAAGGGCACCCTAAAGTGCAATACGTGCAAATGATGCCCATTCGGTTGCGCGTACTGGGCAGAAAAGGGAGGACGGGAAGAGGAGGATGGGGGGTGAGGCGGAAAATGGGGGGCAGAAGCATCGGTGAGGATGAGCTGGAGCGGGGCAGGAAGAGGAGGAGGGGAACGAGGAGGAAGTGTGGGAGGAGGAGGAAGAGGAGGAGGAGGGGGACACTGAGATGAGGCTCCGGGTTATGGGGCTGGGCGCGACTCGAAAAACCGGTGTGTTCGGAGATGTCCGTTGGGATCTTGCGGGGGGGCTTCTTGCGGGCCTCTTGGAGCAGTTTCGAAGGCTCTTGGGGGCCGTTTTGGGGCCTCTTTGTGGCTTCTTGGGCGCCTCTTGGAACGTCTTGGGGGCCTCTTGGGGGGTTCTTGGGGCCTCTTTGGGGCCTCTTGGGGCCTCCTGGGGGC